GTTCAAAATAAAAATTTGTATTTTAAGAAGGAAATTTAAGTTGTATACTGTGGTGTTGACATAGTGTTAGGTTTCTTAGGAGTAATTTGCATGTCTCAAGTTTGAGTCTTTGTTTCCCTAAGTTAATCTTATTTTCTATCATTGTTTTTACTAAACAACTATTTTAAATAAAATGTTTTTTTAAATAAAAAAAACTTTTCGTTTTTTTAAACAAATTTCAAAAAATAAAACATTTATATTTTAAATAAGAAATTAAGTTGTATCCTAATGTCTTGGCATAGTGGCAAGAACTTTGGACGTTAACATTCGAATACTCTCGAGGTGATAAAATTTTTCTAATGGTCTTCATACCACACATACCTATTAATTCATATCTTATAACAAAGTGTGAATTAATATAACGTGAGAAATTTCAATCAAAACACAATTTTTTTTCTTCTTTTATTTGGACCAAATGATATAAAGGATAATTTCTGACAAAGCTGGATACCGTTTTCGAACGGGTGTCGTAGGGTGCTAACACCTTCCCTACGCTCAGTCGACTCTTGAACCAATTTTTGTTTTCGTAGACCAAATTTTCTTTTTAGGTGACCAATCATACCTCGTAGATGATTGATGGCGACTCCAAATATTTATGTCGAAAGAGACCCATCAGGAGATAACGTTGGCTGCTCTGTGTCGTGATGACGTTGAGATAACAACGACTTGTGGAAATGGAAAGAAAAAAAAAAAAGAAACTTCGAACAAGAGAAGTGCTTGGCAATTCAGTTGAAATTGAAACAAAGAAGAAAAAAAATATCTTCTGGAGTTGGCGATTAGAAAGTGAGAAGTCGAATTGGAAAATTTTGGGCGGATGTTCGATTTAAAATAAATCAATAGTGATAAAAAAAATAGTGAAAATTTTGAAAAGAAGAACAAACCAGGTGGTGGTGCAATTTGTATCAATCGGTGGTCCAAATCTATCACTCATTGGTCGTAGTTTTGTTTTTTTTTTTATTTAACTTCTAGAACTTAGAGACAAAAGTTGAAAGGTTTGAAATTAAGTGTGAATTCGAGGTGCTCAACATTAATTGAGCAAGCAGTTGAATTGTTTTGCTACTTCTTGAAAATTTGTGGATATTATATGGAGTAGTTGAATCAAGCATGTCAATATAGCAGCTGAAGCAAGCACGTCAATATAGTAGCTGAAATTTTATAGACTTTAAGTATACTTAAAGTCTATAAAATTTTGTGATGGACCAGCCTAATATAGCAGCGAGAGAAGGATGTGACGGACCAGATGTGCTTGGTCTATTATCAACTTTTGTTGATGGACCAGCCTGATCAATAACTCTTGTTGATTTATCTGTAGCATCTTTTGAAATCTCTTCTAATACTAGTTTGCTGCGGGGTTTATGATCTCGTATGTGGTCTTCCTCTAGGAATGTGGCGTTTGTCGATATAACTACCTTTTCATCTTGACGATCATAAAACAGACCACCTCTCGTTCCTTTAGGGTATCTCACAAAAAGACACAATTTTGAATGACGTTCCAATTTCTTAGGATTTTGTATCAACACGTGTGTTGGACAACCCCAGATTCAAAAATGACGTAAACTAGCTTTACGCCCGGTCCATAACTCATAAGGTGTTTCTGAAACACTTTTAGAGGGAACGTTATTCAAAATGTAAGCTGCAGTCTCTACTGCAAACCTTCAGAACGAGTTAGGCAACTGAGCAAAACTCATCATGGATTGAGCCATGTCTAACAATGTTCTGTTTCTTCGTTCAGATACACCGTTCTGCTGAGGCGTTCCTGGTGCAGAGAGTTGTGACTGAATTCCATGTTCTATCATATAGTCTTGAAATCTCAAATCCATATACTCCCCACCTCGATCTAATCGAAGTGTCTTAATTGTTTTACCTAATTGGTTCTCAACCTCGGTCTTAAACTCCTTGAACTTTTCAAGGGCTTCAGACTTGTGATGTATCAGGTAAATGTAACCGTACCTAGAATAATCATCAATAAAGCTGATGAAATATTCATACCCTCATCGAGCTCTAACATTCATTGGTCCACAAAGGTTTAAATGTACGAGTTCTAAAGGTTCTTTGGCTCGATGACCTTTTCCAGTAAAAGATCTCTTTGTCATTTTTCCCTCAAGACATGACTCACATGGCGACAAAGAATCATCTTCTAACTACGTAGCTGAATTCACCTGGAAATTAAGAAAAGAATGGCATATCTTTTAGAATTCGCATAGAATTTCTAAAAGCTATATCTTGTCAATTTGTTTTAGGTTTTGGGAAAATTTGTGAGTTTTTTTGCATCCTAATTTTTGTTGTTTCTTTGTTCAATTTTGCTTTAATATTCTTGTCTAGTTGTTTGATCTTTTGTTCGTCTTGCTATTTCTTTGGATTTTGAGTCTTAGATTCTTAATTCCAGATATTTTATCTTCATTGTTTCGTATCCTAGTTTGTTGAATCTTGAATATTAGATTATTGATTCTTAGTTTACCTTATTTTGTATGTTCTATTTGTTTCTTGCTTGGGTTTGATACTTTATAATCATTTTTGTGTGACTTCTTACTTGTTTGCTTCTTTAGTTTCTTGGTTTCAATATCTTGGCTCATCACCCTATAATTGAGAAAGAATTCATTCTTGTGAGGGAGAACATACCTTTTAGAGTGTAAACGCGAGAGAACCACGTCCATCGAGTGAAGCACATGAGGGAGTAAATTGTAAGGTCCATTTTTATTTAATTGTTTTCTCTTTTGCATTGATATCAAACTTAGGGGGTAGACCTAATAATGGAGATGTAGAAGGGATGGAACCACAAGAACAACTCTTTGCGAGAGTCATGCAAAACGTGGTGACCATGATCAATGAGAGGTTTGATAGGATGAAGTAAACACTCCAAGCTAGGGATAGACCTCAAGGAAAAAGGCCGCCTGAAAAAGTTTTGGAGGAAGAAGATGACTTAAGGCAGGAGCTGGAGGTTGGAGTACCTAGAAGAGGAGAACGTCGAGGCTTGAAAAGAATAAGAGGTTTGTAAAATAGAATGCAGCAAGGGAGGAGAGAAGACAACAATGGAGATCGGGGCTTTGACAACATTAAGGTTAAATTTCTCAAGTTCCATGGCACTTCTAACCCTGAAGATTACTTCAAATGAGAGCAAGAAGTTGAACACATATTTTATGGCAACAACCTCACAGAAGAGAAAAATGTAACTATCTCTATTACACATTTTAAGAGTTATGCACAAACTTAGTGGGGTAAGGCGTGTTCTAATTTAAGAAGACGACAAGAAGGTCGAGTGGAAACATGGCTGGAATTGAAGAAGCTCATGAGGAGGCGTTTCATACTAGAGTCATTACCTGAGAGATTGTGCACAGAAGCTTCAAACTTTATGCCAAGGAAGCAAGAATGTTCAGGATTACTACAAAGAAATGGAACGTTGATGGAAATACTGGAGATGGAGGAAGATGAAGAATCTACCATGGCGCGTTTCCTTAGTGGCCCTAATGCAAACATATCTGATCGTGTGGATTTGCAAAGTTATGAAGCTATTGAAAATCTAGCTATAAAGATTGAAAGACAAATCCAAAAGCGTAAGTCTAGGTACACTTCTTCTTGAAGAGATGTGAATGTCGAAGCAAAAACAATAGAACGCATTCTTGAATTTCTTTTGAAAATTTAAAATACAAAAAAATATAAAACATGAAAGAATTTCGGATTTTATCTTTGAAGACACTTCTTTATGTAAACCCAATGAGACAACACCACTTGAACTTTCTCGCTAAGTTTCTCGGTCGAGAATCCGGATTGTGGGATCCAATTTCAAGGGATTGAGAGAGTAAGAGAGTTAGAGAGATTTTTTAGCGTGGAAAAACCACCGGATCGGAGAAAAAACCACGACCCACAAGGGAAAATCCACTATGTGAAAAATTATTACAATCACACAGATTTCTCTCACCGACTCCAATTACACAAAACACTCTTTCAAAGCAAATACCGCTCAGTTAACTAGAGCTGGTATATCAGGCTTAAAATATTTCAATTGGGATGATTAGAACCCAAGCCCATGAGCTCCTTTTATAGTAGTTGAAACACACCTCCTCTTGTACTTTTTCGATGTGGGACTACTTCTAGTATATGGAGGTCATCCTTGTATTCTTCCAATGTGGGACAACTTTAATTGCAATATTTTGCCAAAACCCAAAAACATCTCGGTAAGAAACTGCTTCTACTCACTTGGTAAAATAATCTATGGCTACCAAAATAAATCGGTGTCCATTTGATGCTTTAGGTTCGATAGGACCTATTACATCCTTGTCCCACATAGAAAAGGGCCAAGGGGCTGTCAAAGTATATGCAAATGAGAAGTAGGAGCATATACCTTGTCCGAATAAATTTGACATTTTTGTGACATTTCTTTGCATATTTGATAACAATCTGTCTCCATAGTCAACCAGTAATAGCCGACTCTTAAAATTTGTCTAACCATCATATGTCAATTTGCATGAGTTCCACATACTTCTTCATGGATTTCCTCCATAATCTTGTTGACCTCTCTTCCTTCGACGTATCTTAAGAAAACCATGTCGTAGTTTCTCTAGTACAATATTTCTCCATTTAAGAAAAACTTCATTACCAGCTTGTAGAGGGTGTGCTTATCATTTGTTGAAGCACTGAGTGGATATTCTTTGCTCTTGACGTACTGCTTGATGTCATGAAACCAACAGTTGTCTTCAGGTTGTTCCTCAATGAATTTTACCTTCAACATATTATATTTTACATATTTTAATTTTAATAAATAAAATAGGTTCATAATATAAAATAATATATTTATTAAAACTTTTTATTTTTTTTAATATAACTTTACAAGTTTGAAATTCAAAATTTGAGAAGACCCATAAAAAGGTTGTTTTCAAAATAGTTTTTAGAAATCAAAACTATGCTAAATTGAATAAAAACAAAATCCAAATTGCCAACCAAACAAATCTCAAAAAAAAAAAAAAAACACAAATCTAATTAGGGCAACCGATGCAAGTTCTCTCTCTCACTTCCCCGACATCCCTTTCTCTCCCACTCTCAATCTCCTAAACCCACTTTTCTCTCCGATCTCTTCCAAGCAGTGGCGATAGCTCCTCCGGCTCCCTCTGCAGCAGCCTGACCCACCAAGGCGGCGGGTCCTCCACGATATGGCCGATGACAGTTTCGGCGGCGCCTCACTTCTATCAGGTCCCGACGGCCAGAAGCGCCGAGTGACCTACTTCTACGAGCCCATAATCGGCGATTACTACTACGGCCAAGGCCATCCGATGAAGCCCCACCGTATCCGCATGGCCCACAATCTCATCGTTCATTACGGCCTCCATCGCCGGATGGAGATCAACCGGCCCTACCCTGCCGCTACGGAGGATATCCGGAGATTCCACTCCGATGACTACGTCGATTTCCTCGCCTCCGTATCCCCCGAAACGCTCTCCGATCACTCCTTCTCTCGCCATCTCAAGCGCTTTAATGTTGGCGAGGACTGCCCTGTTTTTGATGGCTTATTCGGCTTCTGCCAGGCGTCTGCTGGAGGCTCCATTGGTGCTGCCGTCAAGCTCAATCGCGGCGATGCTGATATTGCTATTAATTGGGCTGGTGGTCTTCATCATGCTAAGAAGTCTGAGGCCTCTGGTTTCTGTTATGTCAATGATATTGTCTTGGGTATTCTTGAGCTGCTGAAGTATCACAGGGTAATGTTCTTACAGATTGAAGAATAATTGTGTTTTATTCTTATGTTTTGGTTTTGACCCACTGTGCTGCTGGATATTTTGTTCTTTGATCTATTAAATATTCTTGTTTATTTTTGAAATTGTTTTGTTTTTGTTTTGTTGAACTTCGAGTATCATTGATTATTTAGCAATTTGGATCTTAACGTGAATAGCCTGGCTGAAAATTTCTGCTTGAAGCAGAGGTGTTCTCTGGATTACACATTCATAATATCTTTATTCTTTGATTATTTTTGTGCTGTTATTAGGACTATTTTTCCTCCTTCATAATCAAAGCCACCTTTCTTAAGCCGGAAGGGGCGTCCTAGTTGGGGTTTAGGCTCTTTTGGTCATACTGACTTAGAGGTCTCAAGTTCGAACTTCTAGTGAGCTCCATACCAAAAACCCTTAAAGCAGGTTTGAGCTTTGGGGGGCACGGGTACCCTTGGGTATAGGGGAGCAAAAGCTCCGACTCCCGGTTATCCAAAATTTCTAAATCTTTCTTGTTTTCCCCTGCCTTTAGATTAGTTTCTTGAATTTCTTTTATCATTTTGGGTTCTCTGAATTTCGATTTTCCCCTATTAAAGCTTTAGCAATGCTCTACGTTCTAAGCTGCTAATTATCATTGTGCAGCGTGTATTATACATTGACATTGACGTCCATCATGGTGATGGGGTGGAAGAGGCATTTTACACCACTGACAGAGTAATGACGGTCTCCTTTCATAAATTTGGGGATTTCTTTCCAGGGACTGGGCACATTAAGGATGTTGGAGTAGGGACTGGTAAAAATTATGCCCTTAATGTCCCCTTAAATGATGGAATGGATGATGACAGTTTTCGTGGTCTGTTTAGGCCTCTCATTCAAAAAGTTATGGAGGTGTATCAGCCAGAAGCGGTAGTACTCCAATGTGGAGCCGATTCCTTATCTGGGGATAGGTTGGGATGCTTCAACTTATCTGTAAAGGGCCATGCGGATTGCCTTCGTTTCTTGAGATCGTTTAACGTTCCTTTAATGGTATTGGGTGGAGGAGGATATACAATCCGCAATGTCGCCCGCTGTTGGTGTTATGAGGTGTCCATCTCTCTTTCTTTGTGTCCATGTGCCTTTAATTTATCTCCTTCTAGAATTAATTTATGATACGTTCTCTTAACAGACAGCAGTTGCTGTGGGAGTTGAACCGGACAACAAATTGCCTTACAATGAGTATTTCGAGTATTTCGGACCTGATTATACACTTCACATAGAACCATCCAACATGGAGAATCTTAACTCACCTAAAGATATGGAAAAGATAAGGTAACTTGTGATTGTGTGTTGCTCATTTCATGACGTACTTCGTTTGATTGAACACTGTGAACTTAGTTTCTTTTGCGGTTTGGCTTCTTCAGTGTCATTCTTCTTTCATTCTGGTAACAGAAAGAGTGTGAATAATGGAAAACTCATATCTATGGAATAGATAATTTCTTGCTCATTCTTCAAATGCTAAATACTTGTTGGGTTTGTAAGAACTTTTATGCTTTTATGTCATCTGACTGAAAAATCTAATATAGACAAGTTGCCTCCTCTATCTCTTCTAGGAACACCCTGGTGGAGCAACTCTCTAGACTCCCACATGCACCAAGTGTTCCTTTCCAGATGACTCCCTCATCAGAAGTTCCAGAAGAGGTTACGAAGCACCTGCACAATAATTTTACTAAATCGCATAATTTTCTGTTTCTCTGTGGTGTTTTCTTGTTCTGAGATGGTAATGCTTTGGTTGTAAGGTGGAAGAGGACATTGAACGGAGACCGAAACGCCGCATTTGGAATGGTGAAGATTATGATTCTGATTCCGAAGAAAATAGAAAGCGACCTAACATCAGTGATGGATCTGGTGTAAACGATCTAACGAGGTAAAGGCTTAAGCTCTTGTACTTTTTTCTTGACATCCCAAGCAAGATTCTTGATGGGACTAGTGCATATCTCGATTCTGGATATTAAACTTCAAAGGTATTGTGATATCTTGAGCATCTCACCGAGGCATCTACTCAAAAGAACTTGGTGCATTATAATAACGGAATGTCAGTACATGTGATGCAGGGACGTAGTAGACGGTATGGATGAAGATAAAAACATGGACCATCAACCTTGTTGACACATCAAAACTGTGCGTCGAGTACACAGCGTTGAAGTCTAACCAATTTCGATGAGGCAAGACACCTTAGATCAAGCCTTAGTTTTCGAAGACTGGGTTTCATCTTTTGAGTATGCATTGGAGCATACTGATCGATCTTCTGTAACAAGGCTATTTTATCAACATGAAAAGGTAAACAATTATACACAAAGGAATACACTGATCAGGAATCGACTTCATTTACGTTAGCGACCTGTGCATCGATATTTCAATGGAGCCCCATAGATTCGTTTAACATACTTTTCTTAAAAGTATGCGAAAATCACATCACGTTACATTTTTAACTACCACCCTTAAATGTGTGGTTGCTAAGTTTGATGCAACAAAGTAGTAAGAGTCCAATAAGTTTTCCCTTTTCTTTCTACCTTTTTCAAGAAATATTTTGAACATTGTAAGCTCACACAGTAGAAGTATGGCCATTTGCTGGTCCTTGCAAAGCCAATGGATTGCATTTGTTGCTCAAGAAACTCGTGATTCTGTCCTCAATTTGCATCTCATTTTCCCAACAATCGTCTTTAGAAAAAGAAGCTGAGTTAAATTGTGAAACCCAACCCACTTGATTGTTTATGATCCAACTTTTCATGTCCTCGCGTCAGAGCTTTCCAAGAGTTGTTTAACTCCTTTTACAAACAAAGGAACTGTATATTTTGTTCACCAAAACCCCTCTTGCTTGTGACCGTTTTTGCGAAATTAGAATTGTTTGGCTGTATTCTTAGCCAAAATTGTTAACTCGTGAATCGTAATTAAAATTTAATGTATCGTATATCGTAGCTTTGCGATTTCTTTCTCCAGCAACCAAATGTAATCTCTCTCTCCCCAGCCATTTATTTAACTGATTAGGTTGGTATTGGTTACCTTACAAATTTACATAGATGTGTAATGAAGGTCCAAGAAAAGATCTAGCATGGAAGTATGCTCGATTGGCAAATCTACACTTATTTGTAGTTTTTGTTCAAAAGTGACAAAAGGATGAGTATATAGGGTGAAACAACATCTTGTTCGTGGATATAGAAATGCAATTGCATGCGAAAAGTGTTCGGATCGTGTGAAGGAAGAAGTTAAAAGAACATAAGTCTAAGAAAAAGGTGATAAAAGAAAAAAGAACTCTTATACTCGAGATTGATGGTGAAGATTTTGGTATGGAGGATGAAGATGAGGATATTTGGTTATAAGTGATTCAAGTATGAGATTTTCTTCAAACTCAAAAGACCAAGTTTATAATCAATTAAATCCTGGACTGAAGGTCCAATGGATGCATATTTTACTCATAATCCACAAACATTTATTTATAATCGGAAGAATGAGAAAGAAAAACAAATAACAATTATGAATGAAGCCTACCAAAAGGAAATGAAGGAGCCCACACTACAAAGAATTGTCCGATGGATTTATTGATACTGAAATATCTCTAAATGTTTGTAATTATGAAAGTTTTGTTCCTATGGTTGAAGCAATAGGATATTCGCGCCTGGTTTGAAACCACAATCTTATCATTAGCTAAGAGTGTCATTGTTGAAAAAGTAATTAGCGCCAACACACGAATGAACAATCATAAGGAAGAGTGGGCCAAAGTTGGGTGCACTATCATGATTGATGGATAGACAGGTAGAAGAGATAGGATATTAATTAACCTCTTAGTTAATAGCAAAAGACGCCATGTTTATTGAGTCTATTGATGTTTCTTCTTATGTGAAGAGTGGAAAGAAAATGTTTGAACTGCTCGATGATTTTGTAGAGTACATTGGAGAAGTCAATGTTGCACATGTTGTCACTGATAGTACCTCAGCAAATGTAGTGTTGGGTAAGAATGAAAATTCTTTGATTCTCTTCAAATTAGTCTTATCTTAAATACCTCTAAATGTTTGTAATTATGAAAGTTTTGTTCCTCGGGTTGAAGCAATAGGATAATTCGCGCCTGGTTTGAAACCACAATCTTATCATTAGCTAAGAGTGTCATTGTTGAAAAAGTAGTTAGCACCAACACAAGAATAAACAATCATAAGGAAGAGTGGGCCAAAGTTAGGTGCACTATCATGATTGATAGATAGACTGATAGAAGAGATAAGATATTAATTAACTTCTTAGTTAATAGCAAAAGACTCTACGTTTATTGAGTCTATTGATGTTTCTTCTCATGTGAAGAGTAGAAAGAAAATGTTTGAACTGCTCGATGATTTTTTGGATTACATTGGAAAAGTCAATGTTGCACATGTTGTCACTTATAGTACCCAAACAAATGTAGTGTTGGGTAAGAATGAAAATTCTTTGATTCTCTTCAAATTAGTCTTATCTTAAAACTTTCAGGTTGCCTAATATGTTATCTCCTTATTTTATTTTATTTTGTTACGGGAGAAGTTAGTTAGACAAGTTAAGACTTACTTTGCCACAATTTGCATAACATTATCAAGAATATAAACGTCAAAAGAATAACTTGAGGAAGATTTTTACTTCATATATTAATGGAAGAATAGCAAATGGAGCAATGAGCAATAAGACAAGTGAGTTCTTCAAACAATATTGATGATGACTTTTTGGAATACAGTTGTGTTTGCTCTTAAATTCTCGGGCTCTTTAGTTTAAGTTCTCAAGTTGGTAGATGATGAGAGGAAGCCTCCTATGTGATATATTTATGAGGTCATAGTAGAGCAAAAGAGGCCGTACCTAAATCTTTTAATGAAAATGAAGAAAAATATAATGATACCTTTTAAATAATTTATTAGAGATGAAATCTTCCGTTGTATCCTCCTTTGCATGCAGCAAGATATTATTTAAAAACCATAACTATTTTATTTAAATCTTAACATTATGGTAGATTATGAAATTGTTAATGGGATGTATCCATATGTAACAAGAATCGTTTCTTCTCCAGAAATACAAGATAAGATACTTCAAGAACTTACCAAGTACAAGAACGCCGAAAGAATATTCAGACAACCCATGACTGTTAGACAAAAAAATAAAAGATCTCAGAGTAAGATTTAATAATATTAAGTGAGTTATTTTGTTTGGTTGGAAGTGATTAACATAGTTTAGTTCAATTCAATAGTATAATATTGGTGGAATGATTTTGGAGTTTCAACTCCAAACTTGTGAAAGTTTGCTGTAGCCTGTAAGAGTTTTAGGTCTTACTTGTAGTGTCTCGGGATCTGAACGAAATTGGAGTGTTTTTTAATAAGATAATTCTTTATGACACTTAAAAATAAGTTTTTAACTTCTTGGTTTAAATTGTTGTAGAACTTTTTCTTTTATATTTTGCAGCTTCATAGAAAAAAAAAGAATAGGCTTGCACAACATCGTCTTAATGACTTAGTCTTCATAAAGTATAATAGAGAATTGAAACATCGATATAATATGCGAAACACAGTCGATCACATCTCTTTAAAGGATCTCGATGATAGTAATGATTGGGTGATTGAGAAAATGGATAATGATTCAGAAGAAGACAATGATCTTGTGTTTGAGATGATTCTTTAACATGGGGTGGTGTTTCGAGAGATGCTGAAATGGAAGAACCTACCTATTATTCTACAGCAAGTACGTCAAGATCTAGGGCTAGAGCTTCATGCTCATCGTCATCCACACTGTCCACACCCAGCAATTGATTGATGATGAAGATGATACCAAGAAAGAAGACGCAGATGCTTGCAAGTCGAATGATAGGAGAGAATAAACCTAATGAAAACTTACAAGTGACGACGAGATTGGTCTTTAGATTTTTATTTGAAATTATCATACTATGTTAAGATTATTTTCATGTTTTTTTTGGAGCATTGACTCTTTCTATTTAAGGAAAAACTTCTTATTCTAGCCTTTGTTGATATCACCTATCACATTAAATTACATTTCGCTCCTCTTCCTCAATCTCAAAAAATCATTTTTCACTTCCCGGTTTCTTTTTTCAATTTTTTTTTCTATTCTCTAAAAAAAACTTAGTTTAAGATGGATTTTGCCTAAATGTAATTTTGACTCTATTGAACACGTAGTTAGTGCAAAAGCGAGCATGTACTCAACATGTAAAGATATGGATTCAACATATTTAGTTCTTAACAGAGTAAATAATTGTGTTCAGCATACTACGTTGGATTTTTAATATGGGAAGAAAAGTGGAAAACCGTCGAGTATACAAATTTAAGATCTGAAAATTAAATTCATGATTAAGAATTTGAAACTTATTTTATGTTTTGTAACAAATTCTTTATTTAATTTATAAGTCGTTTTTGTTTCAATTTTGTGTTATGTAACTTTATTTTGTTAAAGTTACGTATTATGAAAGTTGAAGTTATATTTCAAATGAAGATTTTTTCTTCATTTTGTTAAGCTGAAGTTAATTAACGTGTGAGGAGTTTCATGTTCGTACAATTATATATAGTTGTTGTTTTGTTCCTTTAATATATCCAAGCATACTACAATTGGGTATTCTCCTACTCCACAAAATTATCTCTCTCTTTTGTCTTGTTGTTCTTGGTTGTGTTGAGAGCAAAAATTCTAAAAGTTCTTCCAGATCCGAGTAGTTTGTTGTTCTATCGAAGTTAGGTAAAACTGAAAATTAAACTATAATAAATTTTTATATGATATTAGTTTGTTTAATATAAATACTAAAAATTCTTGTAAAATTAATACTAACAATTACGGTTTTATATATACTTAATTTGATATTAGTTTGTCTAAAATAAAATATGATTAAATTATCCATGCAGACATAGAAACATATAATAAACTTGAAATAGGTTGAAAATCCACAGTAGTAAGTAGGGGTGCAAGCGGGTCGGTTCGGCTCGGTTTTAGAGCTAAATCAAAACCGAATCGATAATAAATAATATATTATTTAGGAACCGAACCGAACCAACAAATGAATAAAAACCGAACTTAACCGAACTGCCAAATCGTCGGTTGTCGATTCGGTTTGGCGGTTTAATCGATTAGCATGAAGTTAAGTCGCCGTCTAAGTTTATCGATGGAGAAGTTCACAGCGGCTGCAGATTGGTGTTAGGGTTTGTGGTGTTTTGTGGGTAGCAAATCTAACGTGACCACATATCTACCGCCATTTGAAGGTTGAATCACTGCAAGTCATCGTCCCCTGACACCATGTGGCATGCCGTCTTGTTCTAATGTGTGAGTGCATCGTTGGTGCAAGATGAAGGTTTAGAGAACAAGAGAGAGGAGAATAAAACTGAGAAGGAGCGATGGTGATGAGAGAGAGATCAGGAGTGATGCTGGCCGCAACAATAAGGGAAGAGAAAAAGAAGGTATCGAGAGTTGAGAGGATTTGAGAGAAAGGGTTGAAGGAAAAAAATGAACCAAATTGGAAAAGTTAGAAAATATAAATGAAAAAAAACACAAAATAAAAGTGTGAAAACTTTGATCCACACGTAACCTTGGAGAGTGGCTTACCTCGAATATTGGTAACATGGTTTGTGATAAAAAAGATCCAATATTGAAAATGGGGATTTACAAAACAATAAAATTAAATAAAATAATACTAGTCT